GAACCCTTGCTGTGATGAATACCGACCTGACAGCCCCGTCACTGCAGGACAGAGCCACGAGGACACGGTTTACTTCTTCATCCACCACTGTCGCAGACATGTACCTGAAAACACACAGAGCTGTAAACAGAGGTGCATTTTTTAAAATGCAAAAAACAAAAACACTGAAGTTATATTCAGCTAAAAAAACAAACAAAAACAGCAGATTGTCTTTGAACACAGATTTTTTGTGAGGAAGAGAAAATATATGCAGAGAACAAATAACAGGAGGTCAGAGGCTATCTAAACACTAGCTTTAAAAAACTTGCCTCGTTTCCGGGTCCATTTTCACCATCTTGTGTCTGTTGCGCCTCCTCTCCCACTCTTTGTCCAAACGGTGACTGGCTACCTGGATCACCTGACAGGAAGGAGCCCGTCTCTGCCCGTCCCAAACAATTAACAGCCGGTAAACTTGGATTTGAGCCCGCCCACCGGCCGACACGAGCAGAGCAGAGAGAGGCTTTGACTGGCTTTCACTCCCGCCCTCTGGGCGAACAATCGCAGTCACCGTGCGGATGCTCGAGATGTGGTCGGTAATAACTGAAAGAACTTTAATATTGCCAGAAAAGGGATGTACCGCCAGGACACTCAGGCTAGTGTCCTCTCCACCTGTCACTACTAACTCCCAGTGGTTTGCCTGATTCCCGTTCCCAAAGTCTGTTATCCTCCCCAGCCTGCATACACACCCAATTCCTCTTCCATGGACTCCATCTTTCAGTCCTGTTCCTCCAGCCTTTCCTGTCTTTCCATCCCAACCCATCGCTTCTCCGGGGGGCTGTGAAGCCAGGACAGCCCCCTGCTTGATAAACACCAAAGCTCCATATCCGAGCCAAATTCCTTTGTGGGATGGCCACAGACTCCAAGAGCGGTGCCCCCCACCACAAGGCACTGCTAACAGTCTCTCCTGCCTCACTGGATCCCAAACAACAAAATGGACTGCATGAAAGCCGACAATTACAAATCTGGCTTCTCTGCCTTCCTTCTCTACTTCTCTGAAGCGCTCTTCTTCTGCCTCCTCCCCTTTAACCTCCACCTGTTCGGTCAATTGGTGTTCTTTGTTATACAGCTCTTCACATTCCTCTGTGACCTCTTCCTCCTCCTTCTCCTCAACTTCTTTTTCAGGTTCAAGAATTAAAATCCTCTCCAGCCACTCCATTCCTTTGCAGGCACGCTGGACCCTGAGAACCTCCAGCTGAAGCCTTTCTTCATTCATTTCACGTTTTTCCGCAGCGTTATCTTCTCTACTTTCTTCAAGATTCTTTGGTGACGATGGACGCACTCTGAAAACTCTAACACAGCCGTCCCTGCCAGTGCTATAGAACAAGCCTTGGTACTCATGCACTGAGGTTACGCCTTGTTTCCCGTGCACCCCAAACAGACAGCTCAGAGGATGCAGCAAAAGGTCATGCACCTCTTTGCTTCCTTCATTCTCCAACTTGCCTTTCCCCTCTCCCTCAGGCCCGCCTTCCTCATCGTCACCTTGTTTACCATCTGTCAGTAATTCTTCATTTGTTTCCTCACCATCTCCTTTTCTTTGCTTTGAGTTTTCTCTTTCCTGAAACAGAAGCAGGGATCCTCTCCTGTCTCCACACACCCAAAGCACTTCCCTTGACCTGCGCTGGAGGCGCACTGCAGCTGTAAGCCAGCGCTTAGCGCACGAGGGGAGGAGGAAAGAAGGTAGAGCAGTGATGCTGAGAGCTAAAGAACAGGTTTCACTGAATTTTGTCTCTACACACCAGCGATAGACACGTCCTTCAGCAGCTGAAGCTAACAAATACGCACGCTCTTTTTCCTTCTGCCAAATAAGACTATGGATCTTCCCTGATCCACATGTAAGCAGAATTCCAGACTGAGGATTAGACATGGGAAAGATCTGTAAGCAGCCACTGAGGTTTCCCACAGCACACAAATCAACTTTGGTTGTCGACTCCTTCACAGTGATAGTTATCATTTCCATCACACAGTAGGACTGAAACTCTGGAGTCCCATTCCACACTACTTCCCACTTCCCAACACTATATTGGTAAACTATTCCTTTGTCAGTGCAAACTACAGGCTTACACTGACTCCAGCTTGTACTGCCATCCTCTTCTGCTGCTCAGCCAACTTTTTTCGGGCGTTGTTGAGGAGGTTTTTTGTCGTTGGTTTTTTTTTTTGTTGGTTCCTCCTCTTGTCGCTCCTTCTTCTCATTGCCCTCCACTCTCCACAACCTTACCCCTCCATCTGCCCCTCCTGTAGCCACCCATCTCGCGTCCTCTCCCTCGCTGACTGTCAGTGCACGAACACCCCCTGCTCGGTGTCCCTTCAACGTGCGAACCACCTTCCCGCTTCCAGCCCAGTCCCAGACTAAACAGGTGCCATCTTCCCCAGCGCTGAAGATATTCCCTAATGAGAGACGGACTGAGAACACCCTGGCCTGATGTCCATATAGGATCCTTAAACAAACTGGGTTCAAGTCCCCACATTTCCCTTCAGGCCCACCTAAAGTGCCAACACCCCACACCCGTACACTGCGGTCATCAGAGGCTGAAGCTAAATATCCTTTCTCCTGGAGGTAAGAGATGCTGAAGATGACCCCAGTGTGGCCCAGTAGACGCCTTTCAATTTGAGCTTTGTTTTCAGGATTGCCACTTTTGTCTCCTCCTCCGGGCTTCCAGAGAACCAGCTGATTGAACACAGTCCCTCCAACTATGACAGTATCCACCCAGGATTCATGAACCAGAAGGAGAGAAGAGTACAGCAAACACCCCTCCAGACAGGAACGCTGCACCACGGCATTTCCTTTTGTGACATCCAGGAGAAGAGCACTATTATGAGCAAGAGCCACACACAGCAGTGGCTGTTTGCCTCCAGAGAGCCAGCGGACATCCAGAGCCCAGTCCTGTAGCTCCATGAGGGGACCCAGGACCTCCAGGCGAAGATGCTCTCCATCCTCCACACGGAACCTTACAAGCCTCACAGCTTTGCCTCCAAATACTGCAAGGTCACAGACATTTGGCTCTGTAGTGCTCAGTGCTGGTGAATAAGAGCAAAAAAAATTCTGTATATTAAAATTTTAAAAAATTAGAGCAAAAATAGCTGGAGGCTTTACATGAATAAAGACTTTTAATATGCAATAAATAATTGTCTAATAAAGATAATATGTATATATCCTCAATTTAATCTAACACCTGCAAGCATACCTTTAACTGCTTATAATTTAACTTTTATCATTGCTGAGAATCCATTCTTGGTTCCAGACTTGCCTTTCTTTCACTTTCTTATTGCTCTGTAAATAATTTTCTCTACATATTAACATATAGTAAAAACAATCAAACGAAACAAGAAACAGCTCATACTAACAGCTTATACTAACCGGCACTCCGTGGTGGCTCAGCTTCCCACCTTCTAGGTCTTATTCCATGAATCCGGTAATGATGGAGAACGCTCAATGAGGCACAGCCTTTAGGGCGAGGCTTGAGTCTGTACACCGACAAGACCGGACCCTCACCTGCCACGAAAGAAAAGTTGTGTGTGTTTGTATTGTGCAATAATGTACAAAATTTGGAACTCTAAAGTTCAAGCTAACCATTACAGCAACCAGAGTTACAAAGAGAATGTGGCACAGATACAAAATGAAGAAGTTCTGAATAAGTTAAAGTTTAACAATAAAAAACTTTTAACAAAAATGCAGTTAATATAGGAGCACTGTGGAAAAACACAGCAGAGCATCACAAGAATAACTACTTGCTTATCTTGTATGTTGAACACTAACCTTTAATTAGAAACGCATCCTGAAGGAACTCCAAAGCTGTAACTGGAGCAACCAGGGCCACCGTCTCCATCACTTAAAGATTAACTGCGGTCAACAAAGGCACATGACGGGGATACGGTGCGTTACAGACAGATGACCCGCTGTGGCGACCTCTAAAGAGAGCAGCCGAAAAAATAAGACCATTATGAAGGGAAGATATGCAGTTTTAACAAATCGTACTTGTAAAGCATGCTGAGACTCCGGGTAGTGCAGTCTGCTGTTGTATTTACTAAAGTCCAATGCTGAGTGAAGATTACCCTTATGATTAGCAAAACAAGCTAACAGGAGGAGTTCTTCTTGTCTTATTTGGAAAGGGATAAGATATCGAACGGCAGAAAACTTTAACAGGTAAACAATAATATCTCGACGTGCCTACTTACACACGCTCCCAATGCAGGAAACTGTTCAGAAACGTTATAAGATCATTATTAACGTCCACCAAAAGGCAGTCTGGTACCCATGTGTTTCTGTACAGACGTTCTTGCCGGGTTTCAACCAATCAAGCTGGACTACCGGCTTTCTCAACGCTGATTGGCTAGTAGGAGGTTAATTGTATTTTTATTGGTGAACTCTGTGCACGTGAGGGACAGCCTTCTATGTTATGCTGCGTTTAAGGATGTTCGATAAAACTCAGTCAGTAGCCTCAATCGCAGGCATTGATCTTAAAATACCAGGATACCTACTAAGAAGTTTCAAAGCGCGTTTACCCCACTTCTTTATACAAAAAGCCGTTATTATCATTTTAATTTCACAGCTGCACCTGTAGTGATGAGATTCAGGCACTCTGATTCTACTGCGTTGCCTACTTCAGTGGGATTTGGGGTACATAACTGGAAAGTCATGTTAATTATCTCAGCGTTTAAATTATAACGTTTTCACGATATTTTGTAACCTAATGCTAAAAGATACGTGCGCAACAGCGTAATTGTGTCTTCAAATCCTCGCAGAACACGTGAACGCATCACGAGGCAGTACATAAGGTAAGAGGTCGCTCCAGGCTGGGAGGTAGCGGTCCAGCTAACTTTTAGAGCTAGCTATGCCTGGCAAATGTAAATTCCAAGATTCCTGGCTCGCAAAGGATGTTTACAAGGACTGGCTGGTTAAGGACGTCCAGGACATTCATTTTGCCCGATGCAGGGCCTGTTGCAAATCAATCAAACTTCAGACGATGGGCGAGGCTGCCCTTACCAGCCACGCAGGGGGAGCTGGCCACAAAGCAGCGGTCCGCAAGCTGCTGGAAGGTGGGTCACTTCCAGTTTTTCAGACTGGAGAACATCTTGAAAGGAATGACAGAAATCTGTTAAGAGAATTCACGAGATCTTGGTGTGATAACTGCTTCATCACTGTTTGTTCAGATGGTTTAATCGTGATGTGGTGTTATCGTTGGTGTGTGCGCGTGTGGCTACACCAGTCTAGACAGGAGTGTAAAAACATCTGTCCCAGGACGAGCGGTCATCAGGACATCACCGAGCACAGCTGTACAGTTTATGCAATTTCAGAGCTGCTTTATATGGTGTCTGTTATGTCTTTGATTTAAGGTTTTATATCCCGTGTCATTATAGCCTAAAAACAACAGCAAGGAGCAGCAGCCAGCATCCAGAGTCCGCTGAAGTAATAAGACTTCCTCCTGGGATGGCAACTATGTTTCTATTATTATTAAATTATGGCTCATTAAATGCATTTTTAGAATACAATGAATATAAGGTGCATTAGTTTGGTCTGCGGCGTAGTTTGAGGGGTTAAGCAATGGATTTAATTAGGGTAATTAATTAAGACTGTAATGATGTTTGTGTTTGTTTAACAGAAAGTTGGAACACCCAATATCTCATTCATTCGTTTACTGACCCTGTAAAACAAATCCGGGTAACTTAAAGGTTTGTTTTTCCGGGTTTTTCTCTTTCTTTTAGAGCTCTTTAGCATTATATATATATATTTTTTATTTAATGAAAAATTATTATTGTTGTTGTTATGTCTTTGATGTAATTAAATAACCTGGGAGCACAGGCATGAAAACTGTGTTTAACAGTGAGAGGTGGGAATCATCAGACACACCATGATATAATATTATTGGGATTTTTCACATTTTCTAATATGATATTAGCCTTCATGTTCTATAGGAATGTAATTAAAGTACAACCAGCTAGCAGCCTGTTGATTCAAGTCCCCTGGAGTCATGCTCACTGACACAGACTTGTTCAGACTGATGGTGACATGTTGGTGATCTGTCCGCCTTCATAAATTAGACAACAGTTATTTTGCAAACCTTCAGATTCGACAGTCAGTCTGAGAGTGATTGCAGTTGGTCTAAGTCAGACTGCGACTTATTGCAGAAAGGTTGCCTCCTGTTATTTGACCTGTGAAAAGTAATTTTGTGTGTGTGTGTGTGTGTGTGTGTGTGTGTATGTGTGTGTTGATGTAAGAAGGTTGTTGTCCTATTTTTACTCATGTGACTGAGCCATGAGCTTGCTTTGAATTAGGAGATAACTTTATCAAGAAAAGTGTGTTTGATGGTTTTTGGGTCAGAGTTTGCTTGTACTCTGGTCCTAAAGAACAGGGAGGTTGTTGAGCACTAATATAATAATTAGATGTAAATTTCTCTCTGTGTAGACAGCAGCACATATATGATTTTCAGTGATTTGTCACAGTTAATTCCTGCTTTATACAAAGTACGTTGCATGTAACTGCAACATTATTTGCAGTTGAAAAACGGTGATAAATCACAATATATGTTATTGCAATACTCAGAATAATTAGTAAAATGTTAAAAATCACAAAAATATCAAGTCACAAGTGAAGTATTGTAATGATCTTGTTTCACTCTGTTTACAGAGCGATTAAAAGGACTGTGCTCGTTTTATGACTGTCCCCTTTTTTCACGATACTGCTCATCTACACCAAGAAATGTTCCGTTAACCCAGCAGTTACTTAAAGCGTCTTACAGTATAATGAAGTCCTGGGAGTTGGTTAAACGTTTTACACTTTTCACTTCATTCCATTTAGTGCACCTGCCACCAGGTTACTGACAGCACTTACTT